AAACAGTCAAGAAAGTGGGGTGTTGCATGGTTTCCGGGCTGTGTGGCCAATGTGTTGTAGCAGCATTATCTCCTGATGTTTCATCTGCCAGCATGACAGGTGAGTGTTACTAGAACACAATGACCACACAGCCTGGAAACCACACAACATCCCACTAAAGTCTTTGAAACAGTCAAGAAAGTGGGGTGTTGCGTGGTTTCTGGGCTGCATGGCCAATGTGTTGTAGCAGCATTTTCTCCTGACATTTCACCTGCTAGAACACAATGGCCACACAGCCTGGAAACCACACAACAACATCCCAATGAAGGCTTTGACAATACAGAGTCAGGAGAGAGGCTGCACGGGGATAATTGTGGGATTCCCCCGAACGGCACGGCACCCAGAAGCCGAAGCCGCCCGCCCCGCCCTCCTGCCCACACCTCAGCCGCAGGCCGGCCGGGCAGCCATCCCAGGCTCTGCGGTTTGGAGCAGCGAGGAGGCGGCCCCGCCGTTGTGCCCTGCGGCAGCTGCTCGGTGCGGCTCCTGGGCCGCCTTGGCAGCGGCTGAACTTCCCTGTCGTCAGAAGGGAACCTCTTGCGCATCCGGCCCACACAGCTTCCTCCACTCGGAATGAGGCAAGTGGCATGAGATAATGGCAGAGATCGGCCTGAGAATGGCGGAACGCCTGTTTGTGGCTTCCTTCTGCATTTGCATTGAGTTCAGCCACAGGAATTCTAGGTTCAGCTGGTGCCTGGATGTCCAGCAGCATCTCCTTCCTTCTCGGGAGGTTATTAATCAGGCACTGGATGGATGGTCACCTGTCAGGGGGGCTCTGATGGTGCTTCTCATGCCTGGCAAAAGGGGGTCGAACAAGATGGCTCTTTTGCATTGAGTTTAGCAGCCGGAATTCTAGGTTCAGCTGGTGCCTGGATAGAATCATAGAATCATAGAATCAAAGAGTTGGAAGAGACCTCATGGGCCATCCAGTCCAAACCCATTCTGCAAAGAAGCAGGATGTTCAGCAGCATCTCCTTCCTTCTCAGGAGGCTTTTAATCAGGCACTGGATGGTCATCTGTCAGGGGGGCTCTGATGGTGCTTCTCCTGCCTGGCAAAAGGGGGTTGGACCAGATGGCTCTTTTGCATCGAGTTCAGCTGCAGGAATTCTAGGTTCAGCTGGTGCCTGGATGTCCAGCAGCATCTCCTTCCTTCTCTGGAGGCTTTTAATCAGGCACTGGATGGATGGCCATCTGTCAGGGGGGCTCTGATGGTGCTTCTCCTGCCTGGCAAAAGGGGCAGATTTTGTGACAGATTTTGGACCAGATGGCTCTTTTGCATTGAGTTCAGCAGCAGGAACTCTAGGTTCAGCTGCTGCCTGGATGTCCAGCAGCATCTCCTTCCTTATCGGGAGGCTTTTAATCAGGCACTGGATGGTCATCTGCCAAGAGGGCTCTGATGGTGCTTCTCCTGCCTGGCAAAAGGGGGTTGGACCAGATGGCTCTTTTGCATCAAGTTCAACAGCAGGAATTCTAGGTTCAGCTGGTGCCTGGATGTCCAGCGGCATCTCCTTCCTTCTCAGGAGGTTATTAATCAGGCAATGGATGGATGGTCATCTGTCAGGGGGGCTCTGATGGTGCTTCTTATGCTTGGCAAAAGGGGGTTGTACCAGATGGCTCTTTTGCATTGAGTTCAGCAGCAGGAATTCTAGGTTCAGCTGGTGCCTGGATGTCCAGCGGCATCTCCTTCCTTCTCGGGAGGCTTTTAATCAGGCACTGGATGGATGGTCACCTGTCAGGGGGGCTCTGATGGTGCTTCTCCTGCCTGGCAAAAGGGGGTTGGACCAGATGGCTCTTTTGCATCATTAGGCAGCAGGAATTCTAGGTTCAGCTGGTGCCTGGATGTCCAGCGGCATCTCCTTCCTTCTCTGGAGGCTTTTAATCAGGCACTGGATGGTCATCTGTCAGGGGGGCTCTGATGGTGCTTCTCCTGCCTGGCAAAAGGGGGTTGTACCAAATGGCTCTTTTGCATTGAGTTCAGCCGCAGGAATTCTAGGTTCAGCTGGTGCCTGGATGTCCAGCAGCATCTCCTTCCTTCTCGGGAGGTTATTAATCAGGCACTGGATGGATGGTCACCTGTCAGGGGGGCTCTGATGGTGCTTCTCATGCCTGGCAAAAGGGGGTCGAACAAGATGGCTCTTTTGCATTGAGTTTAGCAGCCGGAATTCTAGGTTCAGCTGGTGCCTGGATAGAATCATAGAATCATAGAATCAAAGAGTTGGAAGAGACCTCATGGGCCATCCAGTCCAACCCCATCTGCCAAGAAGCAGGATGTTCAGCAACATCTCCTTCCTTCTCGGGAGGCTTTTAATCAGGCACTGGATGGATGGTCATCTGCCAAGGGGGCTCTGATGGTGCTTCTCATGCCTGGCGAAAGGGGGTTGGACCAGATGGCTCTTTTGCATTGAGTTCAGCAGCAGGAATCCTAGGTTCAGCTGGTGCCTGGATGTCCAGTGCCATCTCCTTCCTTCTCGGGAGGCTTTTAATCAGGCACTGGATGGATGGTCACCTGTCAGGGGGGCTCTGATGGTGCTTCTCCTGCCTGGCAAAAGGGGGTCGGACCAGATGGCTCTTTTGCATCGAGTTCAGCCGCAGGAATTCTAGGTTCAGCTGGTGCCTGGATGTCCAGTGGCATCTCCTTCCTTCTCTGGAGGCTTTTAATCAGGCACTGGATGGATGGTCATCTGTCAGGGGGGCTCTGATTTTGCTTCTCATGCCTGGCAAAAGGGGGTTGGACCAGATGGCTCTTTTGCATCGAGTTCAGCCGCAGGAATTCTCGGTTCAGCTGGTGCCTGGATGTCCAGCGGCATCTCCTTCCTTCTCGGGAGGCTTTTAATCAGGCACTGGATGGATGGTCATCTGTCAGGGGGGCTCTGATTTTGCTTCTCATGCCTGGCAAAAGGGGGTTGGACCAGATGGCTCTTTTGCATCGAGTTCAGCCGCAGGAATTCTCGGTTCAGCTGGTGCCTGGATGTCCAGCGGCATCTCCTTCCTTCTCGGGAGGCTTTTAATCAGGCACTGGATGGATGGTCACCTGTCAGGGGGGCTCTGATGGTGCTTCTCCTGCCTGGCAAAAGGGGGTTGGACCAGATGGCTCTTTTGCATCGAGTTCAGCTGCAGGAATTCTAGGTTCAGCTGGTGCCTGGATGTCCAGCAGCATCTCCTTCCTTCTCTGGAGGCTTTTAATCAGGCACTGGATGGTCATCTGTCAGGGGGGCTCTGATGGTGCTTCTCCTGCCTGGCAAAAGGGGGTTGGACCAGATGGCTCTTTTGCATTGAGTTCAGCTGCAGGAATTCTAGGTTCAGCTGGTGCCTGGATGTCCAGCAGCATCTCCTTCCTTCTCTGGAGACTTTTAATCAGGCACTGGATGGATGGTCATCTGTCGGGGTGCTCTGATGGTGCTTCTCCTGCCTGGCAAAAGGGGGTTGGACCAGATGGCTCTTTTGCATCATTAGGCAGCAGGAATTCTAGGTTCAGCTGGTGCCTGGATGTCCAGTGGCATCTCCTTCCTTCTCTGGAGGCTTTTAATCAGGCACTGGATGGATGGCCATCTGCCAAGGGGGCTCTGATGGTGCTTCTCCTGCCTGGCAAAAGGGGGTCGGACCAGATGGCTCTTTTGAATTGAGTTCAGCAGCAGGAATTCTAGGTTCAGCTGGTGCCTGGATGTCCAGCAGCATCTCCTTCCTTCTCTGGAGGCTTTTAATCAGGCACTGGATGGTCATCTGTCAGGGGGGCTCTGATGGTGCTTCTCCTGCCTGGCAAAAGGGGGTTGAACCAGATGGCTCTTTTGCATTGAGTTCAGCAGCAGGAATCCTAGGTTCAGCCGCTGCCTGGATGTCCAGCGGCATCTCCTTCCTTCTCTGGAAGTTATTAATCAGGCACTGAATGGATGGTCATCTGTCAGGGGGGCTCTGATGGTGCTTCTCATGCCTGGCAAAAGGGGATTGAACCAGATGGCTCTTTTGCATCAAGTTCAGCAGCAGGAATTCTAGGTTCAGCTGGTGCCTGGATGTCCAGCGGCATTTCCTTCCTTCTCGGGAGGCTTTTAATCAGGCACTGGATGGATGGTCACCTGTCAGGGGGGCTCTGATGGTGCTTCTCATGCCTGGCAAAAGGGGATTGAACCAGATGGCTCTTTTGCATCGAGTTCAGCTGCAGGAATTCTAGGTTCAGCTGGTGCCTGGATGTCCAGCGGCATCTCCTTCCTTCTCGGGAGGCTTTTAATCAGGCACTGGATGGATGGTCACCTGTCAGGGGGGCTCTGATGGTGCTTCTCATGCCTGGCAAAAGGGGGTTGGACCAGATGGCTTTTTTGCATTGAGTTCAGCTGCAGGAATCCTAGGTTCAGCTGGTGCCTGGCTGTCCAGCGGCATCTCCTTCCTTCTCTGGAGGCTTTTAATCAGGCACTGGATGGATGGTCATCTGCCAATACGGTGGAGAAGCTGCAAAAGCCAACTTTGGTCTTGCAAGGGAGGCCTTGCTTGTGAGGTTTGGGCTCCTTGTGCCACTGAAGCCTTGGCTCCTCTCTCTCTGAGTCTGCACCAGGCTCAGCCGTGGCACGCCGCCCTCTTTCTCCCCCAAAAGAACCTTCACCCATCTTCTGCTCTCCCCCCAAAATCAAGTAAAGCATATCCAGAGAAGCTCCTTCCAGGGATACCGTGGTGGAGGTGGTGCAGGAGCTGCAGGAACACGTCCACTTGGAGACCGGTTCAGCCTTGGCTCCTCTCTCTCTCTGAGTCTGCACCAGGCTCAGCCGTGGCACGCTGTCCTCTTTTCCCCCCAAAAGAACCTCCACCCATCTTCTGTTCTCCCCCCAAAATCAAGTAAAGCATGTCCTGAGAAGCTCCTTCCAGGGATACCGTGGTGGAGGTGGTGCAGGAGCTGCAGGAATGCGTCCACTTGGAGGCTGTCGTGGCACCCAAGGTCCGTCTCCTTGTGCCTCCTCGGCCTTGCCCCTTGCCCTCCGCTAGCAGTTCTGGAGGCGGTCCAGGAGCCGTGCCATGTCCAGGAGGCACTTCCGCAGCCGGTCCAAGGCCACCAGGGAGGTGGTGTAAGGGGAGACGGCCAGCAGCTCTGTCAGGTTGCCCAGGCCCTCGGCCGGCGGGCCCCTCTGGAGCGGGCAGCCCAGGTGGGCGCCCAGCAGGGCCAGCAGGCTCCGCAGGTTCTCCACGTCGTTGCCGATCTGGGCCACCGGCGCCTCCCAGGGCAGGCTGGAGAGGACCTGGTGGAAGACCCCCAGCGTGGCGTCCATGGCTTCCAGGCTCTCCGACGGAAGCTCCCCCGGAATGAAGTCCAGCCCGTGCACCCTCAGGCTCAGCGGAGGGAACTGCCAACAGAGAGGAGGGAAGCCGGGGTCAGGCAGGGGACATCTAGACCAACCCTCTCCCCAATATCCACACGCCCAGAAGAGGGAATTGTGAACGGAGAGGAGGGAATCAGGGGTTGGGCAGGGCTGAGGGAGCCCCAGGGGTCATCTAGTCCACCACCACCACCCTAACCTGTGCTGTAATCCACAGGTAGAAAGGATCAGGGGTCAGGCAGGGGTGCGGGACCCCCAGGGGACATCTATTTTATTTATTTATTTATTTGCTGCATTTGTTGACCGCTGCTCTCAGCCCTGGGGCGACTCGCGGCGGTGTACAACATATAAAAACAGTTTACAAAAAACACAACAAGAAATCAACATATCAATAATACACACTAATCTAAATTACACTAACTAATCCGCATCGTCACAAC